GGACAGCACCATAAAACAAAATGGGCCTAATGAGATACAGCAGTCCAGGGATAACGACTAGAAGGCAGGAGGGGACAGGAAAGCTGTGATAGGGAACCCAAGGTTGAGAATGGACAGCGTTGACAGGTAGTAGGGTTGTAAACCATTGTCATAGGGCAATATGTGTACTGTTTAATGAGAAACTATTTGGTCTGTAAACCTTCGTCTAAAGTATAAGAAAAAAAAAAAGAATTATCTATGTGGGATCAAATTGACAACAGCAACTCAAAAGATTTGATGGGAAGCCTAGGGGGCAGTGAGTTGAAGATAATGGTGATGGAAAAATTTGAAAAAGGATAGTGAGAATGGCAGCACAACTGGAAGAATGTAATTGATGTCCCTGAATTGTACATGTAAAAATTTTTGAAATGGTGTATCTTTGGCTATGTATATTTTCACCAAAAAAAAAAGGTCTTCCAAAGTCGAGAAGGGAGAGTGTTCACATGTTGTGGGGTTGTCAACCAATGTCATAAAACAATATGCATACTGACTGTTTAATAAGAAATTTTGTTCTGTAAACCTTCATCTAAAGTACAACAAAAAAATTTAAAAAAAAATTAGAACATCTACTGGAAGAAGAAACTTATTGAAAACAATGAATGAGGAGAGATTGGGAGTGGAGATGCCAAGCTAGCTGGCCCAGCACAGTGTGACAGTCTCGAGACAAAGCCAGTAGCAATCCCAGGTGAGCTGCAGAGGAAAGCAACCTCACAAAATTCCCTACTGAGAAGGCAGAAAGCAAACAGAGAAACTGTGTAAACATACCCAGAGGGAAGCAAGGTGAGCAGGATATGAACAAGAGCTAAGAAGAGAAAGCACAGGAAGGAGGGCACGAATTCCAGGGATACCAGTGTCCATAGAGGAGAGAGAGAGCTAGGACTCAGAGACAGGGCTATCCACAAGTTGTGGTCCCTGTGCATTGGGATGAGTGGTGCACACAGAGTAATAGATGTGTAAGTGTCAACAGGAGGCCTCCCAACTGATCAGACTATGGGCAGCCCCCCGCCCCCAGTTGGCTTTGGCCAGGTTCAAGTTGCTGGCCGCAGCCAACAGGAAAAGCTCAGGGACCCTCACCCAGTGACCAGAAGAGCACGCTTCCCCTCCCCCACCCTCTTGGTGATTAGAGCATGAACCCCCATATCCTGAAGCTCTGACTACTGGGGATCACAGTATGAGCTACCCCTTCTCCCCTCCCACAGCCCTATTTGTCCCTCTCCACCAAACCGACAAGTGGCATAAGAGCACTCTGGTGTGCTCAGACGCCTGTTCACAAACCCCCACCACCAACTGGCATGAGAGTGCTTCAGTGGACCCAGCCACCTGACTGCCACCTGCCCCCACTGACCTTCTGAGCAGTACAAGAGCACTCTGGTGCTCCCAGTTGCCTGCCTCACCCCCTGGCCATGGCCCCACCCACTTGGCAAGTGCCTGTGAGATCCCCACACCACTGGACTGACAATAGGCAGCAATCAGCACTCACCTGGCCCACCCTCAAACATCTCACATACTCACTGAAAATTGATGTGGGCTCACCCTGGCTGTTAGTGCCCCACCCACCCAGAGACAGGTAGTGAGTGTTCCTGTGCTGACAGATGAGCAATCTGCAAAGCACACTTGAGCCACCTACTCTGATACAACAAACCAAAACAAAACAGAAAATCAGGATGAAACAAACAAATATACAATCAATCGATAAACAAAATAACACCTTATTGCCTAGGAGACAACAAAGAATAACAAATCACTCAAATAGAAAAAGACGGCTGAAATAAATGGCCAAAATAAAAGGGCAGAAAGCCTTCTTGAAGAAGTAGTAATAGAAGTACTTGACAAAGAATTCAAAAGATTTATATACAAGATCCACAAAGAGATCAAGGAAAACACAGACAAAACCCTAGAAGAATTCAGGAAAACAATACAAGAACAAAAATGACCAAATAAATAGACAATTAGAAACTATACAAGAACAATAACTACAAATCCAGAAGATTAACAATAAAATATCAGAAATGGATAACTAAATAGAAGAATATGAAAGTAGAATTGAAGCGATGGAAGAGATAATCAGCAAAATAGAGGACAAATCCCTTGACACTAACCTGTTTGAGGAACCATCAGAAAAAAAAAAAAAAGAGAAAAATGAAGAAAGCCTAAGAGCTATGTGAGACACTATCAAGAGGAAGAATTTATGTGCGACTGGAATTCCAGAAGACAGGGAGAAAAAAAAATCACAGAGAGAATTTTAGAAGACTTATTGACAGTAAACTTCCCTAATACAATGCAAGATGAGAAGGTTTCCACCAAGAATTTCAACGAACCCCATTCACCAAGACATATCATAATCAAAGTTTTAAAAACCAAGGACAAAGAAATAATTCTGAGAGAAGCTCAGGAAAATTGAAGTATTACCTACAAAGGGGCACCAATAAGAGGAAGTGCTGATTTCTCAGCAGAAACCATGCAGGCAAGAAGGCAGTGGGATGACATATATAAAACCCTGAAAGAAAAGAATTGCTAACTAAGAATCATATATCCCTCAAAATTGTCTTTAAATACAATGGCAAAGCTAGGACATACCCGTATAAACAAAAGTGAAGAGAATCTGTAAAAACTAGACTAACCTTAGAAGAAATATTAAAGGGAGTCCTTCAGACAAAGAACCAATAACATCAGACAGCAACATGAGATCAAGACACAAAACAGCATCAATCAGATGCCAACCCAGACAATTCTCAACTGTAAAATAAAACTGAAAACAGAGAACCAGAGATATCAACCTGGAAATGACAACAACTTCAAAATAGAAAGATGGAATAAATGCTGTCGTTATAGAATTTCCATATGGAGAGGAAGTCAAAATGATATCAAGATATAACGACTGCTTTAAATTTAGGAAGAGAAAGATATTTTCCAGAGTAACCACAAAGAAAATAAATAAACGTACTCACCAAAAAAAAAAAAAAAAAAAGAAGAAGAAAATAAAAAAGACTCAGCAAACATAAATGCAACAATAATAAAGGAAGGAAAAAGAAATACATAAACAAAAAGAGCTAAGCACAGAAAATTAAGTGGAACAAAGTAAATGTTAACACCAGAATAAAGACCATAACAAAATAGCAGCAGTAAATTCATACCTAACGATGATCACACTGAATGTAAATGGCTTAAATGTACCAGAGAAGAGACAGAAAGTAGCAGAATGGATTTAAAAAAAAAATAACTATCAATGTATTACCCACAAGAGACACATCTTAGACACAAAGACATAAAAATGTTAAAAATCAAAGAATGGAAAAATTATATCACACAAACAGCACCAAAAGAGAACAGAAGTGGCAATAATAATCTCTGATAAAATAGACTTTAAGTTAAAATTCATTGTCAGAGATAAGGAATGGCATTACATAACGATTAAAGGATCAATCCACCACGAGGACGTAGCCATAATAAATACCTATGCACCTGATAACAGAGCTCTAAAATACATAAAACAAACTATAACAGAACTGAAAAAGACAAATAGATGGTTCTACAGTAATTGCAGGAGGCATTAACACATCATTTTTGATGCTGGATAGAACAACTAGAAAGAAACTCAACAAAGATACAGAAGATCTAAATAATACGATCAATCAACTAGACCGCATAGACATATACAGAACTTACTCTCCAACAGCAGCACAGTACACATTCTTCTCCAATGTTCATGGATCATTCTTCAGAACAGACAACATATTAGGTCACAAAGCAAGCCTTAATAAATTCAAAAGCATTGAAATATTACAAAGCATCTTCTCTGATCATAATACTATAAAGCTAGAAATCAATAACAGAAAGAACAAGGAAACAATTAAATACATGGAAAGTGAATAACACTTTACTTAAAAACTATTGGTAATAGAAGCAATTAAAAATGAAATAAAAAAATTCTTAGAATCAAATGAGAATGAAAACACAACATACTAAAACCCATGGGACAGAGCAAAAGCAGTGCCCAGAGGAAAGTTTATAGCAATAAATGCGCAAATCATAAAAGAAGAAAGGGCCAAAATCAATAGTTTAACCCTTCAACTCAAACAAATAGAAAAAGAGCAGCAAAAGAAGTCCAGTCACCACAAGAAAGGAACTAATAAAGGTTAGAGTAGAAATGAAATAGAAAACAGAAAAACAATAGAAAGAATCAACAAGACTAGAAGTTTGTTCTTTGAGAGCATCAATAAAATTGACAAACCATTGGCCAAACTGACAAAGGAAAAAAATGAAAAAATACAAACAACCAAAATAAGAAATGAAATGGGTAACATTACAACAGAACCAACTGAGATAAAAAATATCATAACAGAATATTATGAAAAATTATACTCCAGCAAATTTGAAAACCTAGAAGAAATGGACAAATTTTTAGAAATACACAACCTACCTAAACTAACACAAATACAGGTAGAAAATTTGAACAGACCCATAACAAAAGAAGAGATAGAAGATGTCATTAAAAAAAAAAAAAAAAAAAAACTCCCAACAAAAAAGCCCAGGCCCAGATGGCTTCACGGAGAATTCTAGCAAACATTCAAGAAGAGTTGACACCAATTCTACTAAAACTATTCCAGAACACAGAAAAGGAAGGAATGCTCCCTAATTCATTCTATGAAGCCAGCATAACCCTGATATCAAAGCCAGGCAAAGACATCACTAAAAAAGAAAACTACAGGCCAATATCTCCCATGAATACAGCTGCAACAAAATTCTAGCCAACAGAATTCAACAGCATATCAAAAAAATACTACATTATGATCAAGTGGGATTCATACCAGGGAGGCAAGGATGGTTCAATATCAGAAAAGCAATCAATGTAATTCACCACATAAATAAAACAAAGATAAAAGATCACATGATCATCTCAACTTATGCAGAAAAGACATTCGATAAAATCCAACACCCTTTCGTGATAAAAACTCTCAGCAGTGCTCACTTTGGCAGCACATATACTAAAACTGGAATGATACGGAGATTAGTATGGTGCCTGCACAAGAATGACATGCAAATTTGTGAAGCATTCCATATTTTTTTCCTCTGTAAACTTTCACTTATATCATAATTAAAAAAAAAAAAAAAACTCTCAGCAAAATAGGAATAGAACGGAAAATCCTTAAGATAATTAAGGTCATATATGAAAGCCAACAGCAAACATTTACTCTCAACAGAGAAAGACTGAGAACATTCTCCTTGAGAATGGGAATGAGACAAGGATGTCCTTTATCACCACTTCAATTCAATGTTGTACTGAAAGTTCTCACCAGAACAATAAGGCAAGAAAGGGAAATAAAGCGTATCCAAATTGGAAAGGAAAAAGTAAAACTATCCTTATTCAAAGATGACATGATTCTATACATAAAAAATTCCAAAGACTCCACAAGGAAGTTACTGGAACTAGTAGAATTCAGCAGAGTGGCAGGGTATAAGATCAACACATGAAAATCAGTTGGGTTCCTCTACACTAACAAACAGGACTCTGAAAAAGAATCAAGAAATCAATACAATTTGCAATAGCCCCAAAAGGATAAAGTATCTAGGAATAAACCTAATCAGGTACATAAAAGACTTATTCAAGGAAAACTATAAAATTCTACTGCAAGAAACTAAAAGATATCTACATAAATGGGAAAATATTCCATGCTCATGGATCGGAATACTTAACACTGTGAAAATGTCAATATTACAAAAAGCAATCTATAGATATAATACAATCCCAATACAAATTCCAACAACTTTCTTTAATGAAATGAAAAAACTAATCTCCAACTTTATATGGAAAGGAAGGGGCCCCGAATAGCTAAAGCAATACTGAAGAAGAACAAAGTAAGAGGCCTCTCACCTCCGGATCTCAAAACTTACTGTACAGCCACATTAACCAAAACAGCCAGAGACTGGTACAATGATAGACACATAGACCAATGGAATATAATTGAGAATCCAGAAATAAATCCATTCATCTATGGGCAGCTGATCTTCAACAAAGTGTCAATGTCCATTCAATGGGGAAGAAACAGTCTCTACAACAAATGGGGCTGGCAAAGCTGGATATCCACATACAGAAAAATGAATAGAATCCATACCTCACACCCTGCACAAAAATAACTCAAAATGGCTCAAAGACATAAATATTTAAACTAAAACTGCAAAGTTCCTGAAAGAAAACATAGTGTTAAAACTAGGGAACCTAAACTTTGGCATAAATAGAATTAAAAAAATGCATGGATGACATAAGATAAATTAGATAACTGGGAGCACCTAAAAATTAAATACCTATGTTAATCAAAAGACTTCACCAAGAGAGTAAAAAGAGAACCTACAGACTTGGAAAAAATCTTGGCAAAGACATATCTGATAAGGGTCTAACCTCTAAAATATATAGAAAACTTCAACAACTCAACAACAAAAAGATAAACAATCCAATCAAAAAATGGCAAAGGACATGAACAGTAAATTTATCAAAGAGGACATTCCACCAGCCAACAGATGCATGAAAAGATACTCACAATCCTTAGCAATTAGAGAGATGCAAATCAAAACCACAATTAGATACCATCTCACTACTTCAAAAATGGCAATGATCAAAAAAACAGAAAACAAATGCTAGCAAGATTGTGGGGAGACTGGAATTCTTTTACATTGCTAGTGGGAATGTAAAATGGCACAACTATCAAGAACAATATGGCGCTTCCTCAAAAAGCTGGAAACAGAAATACCTTATTATCCAGCAATCCCACTCCTAGGTATATATCCTAGAGAAATAGGAACAGTGATACTAATAGACAAATTCACACCTATGTTCATTGCAGCATTATTCACAAGAGCAAAACAATGGAAATAACCTAAGTGCCCATTAACGGACGAATGGATAAACAAATTGTGGTACATACAGATGACAGAATACAACGCAACTGTAAAGAACAATGAGGAGTCCACGAAACATCTCATAGCTTGGATGAATCTGGAGAACATTATGCAGAGTGAAATAAGTCAATCCAAAAGGACAGATATTGAATGGCATCACTTTTACAAAATATCAAGAACAGGTACTCATACAGAAAGCAATGTTCTTTGATGGTTACTCAGGTTGGGAGAGGGAATCACTTTCTAGATAGTAGACACCTGTTATTTTTGGTGATGGGAAGGCAATACCTAATAGGGGTGAAGTCTTCACAACTTGTACAGGGTAAATGAAGACATTAAGAAGTACATAAGAATAAGGGAAAATTTTGGTAAAAAATATAATACATAATTTTGCAGCAACAATAATGACGACCAATAAAATATGTGTGTGGTTATAGGTAGACATGCATGCACATATGGGTACAGGAATGCACATGTGAGTATATGACCATGTATGTACAGATGTGTCTGCAAGTGTATGTATATACATGTTTATGTGTGCTGCATATGTATTCATATATATAAGAGAGCACACGGGGGCACAATTAAGCAAACTTCCTAGACATATCCAAACACCTTGTGGAACTGAGATACTGGGTTTGAAAACTTAGAACCATAGTGTCAGAGGATATCTAGGTCAAACAGCATAACATAGCTCATAAAGATAATGTTCTACATCCTAGGTTGGTGAGTAGCAACTGGGGTCTTAATGGCTTGCGAGTGACCATCTAAGATACAACTCTGGCTCTCTTCCCATCTGAAGCAAAGGAGAGTGAAGGAAACCAAAGGGTCAGTGAAAAAATTGGGCTACAGGACTGGTTACCCACGAGAACCACAGCCTCCTCTAGCCTAAGACCAGAACTAAATGGTGCCTAGTTACCACTACCTACCATTCTGACCAGGGACACAATATAAGAGTCTGGTTAGAATGAGAGAAAAATGTAGAACAAAGCTTAAATTCCTAAAAAAAGGTCGGACTTATTGGATTGATAGAGACTAGAGGAATCCCCAAGACTATCAGCGTAAGATACCCCTTGAACTTGGAACTGCAGTCACTTCCAGTGGTCACCTTTCATCCAAATATGAGATTGGCTTATAAAATAAACAAAATCATCTGTGAATGCCATGCTTTCTTAAATTAACCAACCATATGAGACCAAATGGTCAACCGAAACCAAAAAAACCAAACCCACTGAGCTCAAGTTGATTCCAACTCATAGCGACCCTATAGGACAGAGTAGAACTGCCCCATAGGGTTTCCAACGCTGTAATCTTAATGGAAGCAGCCTGCTACATCTTTCTTCCACAGAACAGCTGGTGGGTTTGAACCACCAACTTGGCAGCCAAGCAGTTTTTACCCTAAAACAAAGATGAGACCCTAAGGAAAGGCAGGGAAGCTAGACTATGGAAACAGAACAAAAAAAATGGAAACAAGGAGAATGTTGAGGCATTGTGAAAAGTGTAACCAATGTCATGGAAGAAGTTGTGTAAAAACTGTTGAATGGTTACCTAACTTGTTATATAAACTTTCACCTAAAACATAATTTAAAAAAAAAAAAGAATGAAAGACTGGCCCAATGCAGCCATCCACTTACACTTGAGTGTGTAGTAGCACAAGTCTTACCAACTCAGGCCAAGTGGGGAAAATCAATCAGGACTATGTGAAAAAAAAAAAAAAAGTATGGCATGATTTTAGAATGAATACAATTATATTAGTTTTAACTAAATAAGGTATTCCAAACTAGCCTAAGAAACTCTTAAATTGTAGAGGGTCTAAAGCACTCAGTCTAAAAAAGCAGAAATGCTTTCAAGTTAGCATGTAAATTGTAAGCATGTGGTTGTTTCTGAAAGTGTTTCAAAATCACCCATTCACTTAAGTATTTTAAGCATTTCTCCTGCAATTTAGCTCAAGCTTCAATTTAGAACAGTTTAAGAGAAAGGTTTGCCAAGTAAAAATAATTTTAATCAGCCCCGCCTTCCCAAATTGTTACAAGTTTTTAATTTATAATATCAGATGCCTTAATTAATGTTAATGTCTTCGAAACTGGAAAATAAAGTCACTAGTCCTAGGTTGTGTATGATGCTAAAATGTAAGCATATGATTTAATAAAGTAGTATCCCAGAACTATGGGGGAAAAGAAAATGTGCTCAACACAAGCAAATAATAGTTTTTAAAAAGCCACCAGAGACACATAACTGGTGAGTCACCACTTAATCTAGCAGCCTGAACCAGGAGACAGCTCTAGTCACAGACTATACCTGGACTAGCTCAGGGAACAGCCACCAGCCTTTTGCTAAGCATGTCATGGAATTCCCAAGGTAGAGTATGTGAGCAGGGAGAGGAGAAAGAGCCGGCAGGCAGGGAACATTTCAGAAAGGCATAAATCAATGTTTACTTAGTTTATTTTGACAATGAAGTGCTTTCATTATATTTAGGAGGCGAGTTCATAAGTTTTCAAGGTCAAGTTCTATTGCACAATGTCGTATAAGATTTTCCTAGAGCAGCTTTTTATTTATAAGATGTAATAATATTGATTTGCATATGTACATATCTAAAATATATCTAAAATATAAATATAAATAAAATCTAAAATATAAATTGATGTACATACAGGCATGCAAATATTCTGCATCAATAGTACATACATGCATGCAAATATTCTGCATCAAAAGGTAAATAAAGTAGTAAAATATTTTACTAGACAGTTCCAGCAAAATGGCGCTCTAGGCAGAAGCACAATGCAGTCCCTCCAAAGCAAAGATCCGAAAAACTAAGCCTAACAGAGAATACAACAATCCTGAAACCCTAAAACATCAAATGAAGAGATAAAGAACTCAGCCAAGCACCA